TTGTACTTTGGACTCAAATTCTGTGCACTTTCTCAAGTCCCGTTTCTGGCAGCCCTGGCAGGGCTGCCAGAACGTGTACTTTCGGTACACACGTGTACTATCGATTTTCGTTTTGGATTATTTTGTACTTTTCAGAATTCGGATTAATTGTGTACTTTCGCCGAATTTTGTGTACTCTGTGTACAATTTTTTTCAAAATTAGGAAATAATCTCGAGTTTTCAAAGAATTTTTAAAATTTCCCGCCGAATTAGTGGCGCATATAATTTATTAGGCTAAAATTCCCGCAGAAATCCCTCTCTGTTATTCAATGGTTGATTCTACCTAATTCTACTCAATCGTGGGATCAAATTGTAGACTTCCAAGTACTTTTGGCGTGCTTTTGTGTATATTTGAAAAAAATGTGTACTATTTGTGTACTTTCTTTCTCGCGGATTATTTTGTACTTTCCCCCAAAATTTCGGATTATTTTGTACTTTGGACTCAAATTCTGTGCACTTTCTCAAGTCCCGTTTCTGGCAGCCCTGGTAAAATGAGTTTAATGAGTGCAAAGTGTGGATTATTTGCGAAGCTCTTGATGCTCATTTTGTGTATATTTTGAAAAATTCGAACAGCTGAATGGCAGCACTGGCATTATCATCATATGAAATAAGAATACTTTAGTACATGATTCATTTACTACATTACATGATTTACGCTTATTACTGATAGCACATAAACAGTGTGTACATTTCTGTAACCCATCTCCGATGTTAGAGCATGTTAAGTCCCCTTGGAGTTGGGGAGCAACAAACTGAAAACCGGAAAGAAAGGAAATCGAAAGAAAAGAACCGCATGGTACCGGTTGACAGGTTGAGTTTTCTCCATCAAGCTTCTCAGTCTCGTAATAAGTTCACCTTGTCGTTGTCCCTAATTTCCTTTGGTTTTCCCAATGGAGCGACCAGGTCAAGATCGTGTCGCCAGAGCAGTTGTAGATTATCTAAATCGTCGCTACTACACAGTGAGTCCCTTTTTAACCCATTCAAGCAACCGCGCCAGCTATATTTTACTTTTAGGTGGATCACTCGTTTTTCCTCATCTGTGGGATTACAAATTTTCACGGAATGCCACTGAAGAGATAGCGTTTTACTATGGTTCAGTGTGAGTGCTGTTTCTGAAACATTCCATCTTGCGAAATCAGTAAAATTCAGAAGAGATCTCTGTCTGGCATCACTGATGTCGTTTTCAGCAGCCTGATTATTGAAATTTTGTGTTTATCAGATCGACATAGATGACATTGGTTAAAAGGCGGAGTGTGATTGGTTGGCTATGTCTCGTCGCTGCTTGATCGTGCCTTTGTCGGGTGGAACTCTCGACAAGTTAAAGGCACCTCTTAAGTTTCCAACAGTATGTCGTCCATTCCACCTGACAAAGGTACGATCAAGCAGCGACGAGACATAGCCAACCAATAACACTCCGCCTTTTAACCTATGTCATCTATGTCGATCTGACAAACACAAAATTTCAATAATCAGGCTGCTGGTTGTACTACAGAACATTTAAGTTTTTTATCTGTGTTCAAATAACAGTTGCATGCCTGTGAACATTTAGTGTAACATCATCTTACATACTGAATGTGTCGGGCAAGCACCAGTGTTCCGAACATGGAGTATAGTAGAATTTCTGTGTACTGGAGCCCCCATAAAGTCATTCTTTGAAGCTGTTTTGTCCCCTGCCTCTGAGGCTGGTGGGTGGCGACTGGAGATGCCGTATCCTCGGGGTCTGTGCCGGGGATGCACTCACAAAATATAGGTATAAAATTAATTTCATGAAAACTGGAAGTTTTGGACGCTTTTGCATTTTTTTTACTTTGGTGAACATAGGTTGTCAAAGTTTGTAGAAATAATCATCAAGTTAATTTTATGTAACTCAAAACTGCTTGCAGCCCACGATCCTTCCATAAGTAAGCCACCATGTTGAAATGGGATGCATGGATCACACTTTTGGAGAACAAGAGGCTAGGAATGTACCATTCAAGGATTGACTTTAGCGATATTCCAGTAAATTCTATCTCTACTGTACTTTATGGTTCTAAATAATTGTCTCCATCCTTCTCACACGCGTTGTTTGCCTATAGGTTCAAAAAGTTCTAAAATTTAAACTATTCATCTGGCCTCTGAAAGATCATGAACCAGGAAAAGAGTTGAAGACATCGCTTCAAAAATGGAATTTTTTTGTTGGAAGGACCGACAAGCCAAGAATAAGTTTCAAAAGCCCCTGTATGAATGTCCTGGAGACAATCGTAATCGCATCCTTTCCATCTTGCTATCTGTCATTTTGTCCTGAGCTCAGCGAAAGATTTTCATGAATTGATACTCCTGTATTGTTGTTTCTAGTTAAGTAGTTTACACTCACAAGACAGTTAAGTAGCACCTGAGAGTTCTGTTCTGTACCACAAGTGCGCTCCATGTCGGAGATAGATTAAAACAATTGGTGAACATTGTGCACCTGTTTAAGGCTTTTTTTATCCATGGAAGGCAATGAACTGGGTCATTCGGGAGGTCCAAGGGGTCCTGTTAGTGGTTCAAATCGCACTCAACTGACCCCAGAAGAACGTTCCAAGCATTCCTCTAGAATGTATAGAACGGGGTAACTGCAGTTCATCGCAATTCTCTGAGGGTTGAATAGAAATGAAGTCCTCACATGAGCTCCCCTGAGTTCAGAGATCTGTTGGTATTTTTACTTGGAAAACCGAACTAATCCAGAAAAGCAAAGGTCATTGCAATCAGCGCTAAAAAGCAACGCTAACAAAAGTATCTATTTCTAGTTTTTTGGTAAACTGACCTGTGCTAATCACTGCATGGATTCAAGAGATGGCCACATTATTTCATTAAAGAAGAGAACAAGAAATGTCTTTCTCCACAAAATCCAAACGTACACATTTCAAATTTTTCAAGTGTTTAATGTTTGGTAGTGAAGTTCGGAGGAGCTCCAACTTTGCTCTATAATTAATCGCTGGATTGCCTTGTCATAAATTTAACTACCTTCTTCCTCGCTTTTTTTGTGCTTCAGGATGCGGAGGACCTGAAAGATTTGGAAATTCATGCAAGCGTAACTGACAAGCAAATGGCTTTGTTTGCTAGTGCAGATAAAGATGCATCTAGGTTGAATTCTGTTGTGTTCAGCAGTGTCAGAAATGATGTTGTTCAAATGGATGATCAATTTTCCAAGTAAGACCTCAGCAGCGGATGGATTTTTCTCCCCCTAATTGCCATTATGCTGATAATTTAGCTCAAATGCTCTATCAATCTACATTTGAAATACCGGGTGTTCCAGAGCACACGTCCAGTATCTTTTTCTCAGAAACGGCCAGAAATTGAGCTTCGGGATGTAAAATTTCAGGGGTTAATCAACCCCCAAAAGAATTCAATGAAAATATTTTCAGCCCCCTAAAATCCCAATTTGGAAGGGTTTCAAAGGGGGTGTGCCCCCATTTTTTTAGGATCGAAAATAAGAACTTTTTGCTCTCTGCGCTCTAAACCCTCATTTTTCGAAGTTACAGGGCATTTTGGGGCATTTTCTTGGTAAAACTTTGGGGGCCACGACCCCCTGAAAATATTGAGGCTTTGGAGGGTTGTAAGTTGAAAATTTCAAATAAGAAGGGTATGTTTGTACTTGAGATTCGGATTCTATGCGAAAAATTGCGTAGGATTGGCGTGGCGTTTGGCCTATTTGCTCCATATTACTTAAGAGCCCAATTTCCTCCTAAGAAACCATGTATTGTTGGAGGAAAAAGGGACAGAAAAGAAAATTGGGGCACATAGGCCGAGTGCCACATCATTCCTACGCAATGTTTCGCGTAGAAAGCAAATCTGAAGTAAAAACATACCCTTGTCATTTGAAATTTTTGACTTACGGCCCTTCAAAGCCCCAAAATCTTGGGGGGTCGTCACCTCTATAATTTTGGATCAACAGGGGTCATGTGACACATTGATCAAAAGGGATTCATTTCTTCTCTCCGAAGACTCCTACTTAAAGAGGTTGTTCCAAAAACGCCGATTTTGGCCCCCCCCTGGATTCGCCCAAAACTTTGCTCAGATGTTGTACTAAGTGTCCCCGACGCTTGGGAAAAATTTCAGCCCC